AATATTTATCTTTAAAGCTTACTGCTTCAGGGAGGTGTTGACACTGAGATGCCGCTTTGAATATAAAATCTATTGTTGTAGCAAGGGGTTCATCATTTGAGTCTGTCAAAAGCTCAAATGACTGAAATAGAATGCGTTCCCACACTTCACTACCACAATCCAATTGACTAAGAGCCCCAAAAACCTGAGAAACAAAATGTCATCAATAGGAGAGAGAAGAAATGGAACCATATTCAGCATCATGTTGGCAATGATGGAAATACAGCAAAAGCATATCTAGGGTTGCTCCCCGAATGTTAAATGCAAGTGATGAAACAATTCAAACAAGGGATTTTGGAAAAAAAAAAAAAAAAAGGTTTCTCACAGGTATTCTTAAAGCAGGTTCTGCATCTGGCTTTTGAAGTCGGTCAAGAAGTGCATAGGCAGCAAGTGGGTGTTCTGACTGCTCAACCAATTTAGGTACCAGAGCAACTAGGTCAGCTTGCAAATGCTTAGGAGCCTTGTCCAATACAAGAGTAATTTTTTGTGCAGATTGAGGTCGGCGTCTTGGTTCTGGACAGCCTTGAGGAACAGCACCATCCAAAGCTCTTAGGGAGTTTACAATCAAACCTAAGAGCTCCTCAGACTGTTCTGGCCACTTGGTCTGATGTTTAAAATTCGCACAATCAAAACTAGAGATATATGTAACAAAAATCACAGCTAATATTAAAGAAAAAAAAAATTGTACCTTTGACCGAAAGGATGCATTTTCTGAAGCAGTGGCAGATGTCTCTGGTGGACAAATGGGCTGTCCAGTACCAGCTTTTTCCTGAATACCATTCCCTTTTGAATCAGAGCTCTGCACAGCAGATGTATTACTGCTCTCTTCCACAACAGAATCCAATCTCTCATTAACGGGAACTCGCGTAGAATCCATTGCTCCACTTTCTCTTTCACACTCAAGAGGACTGGCAGCTCCACTTCCCTCTGGAGAAGGTTTAGAGCATGCATCAACAGAATCAGTAACAGCACCTACTTCAGAAGGTTGGCAACATTCAACCATAATATCTAATAGTAAATCTATGATTGCTTGCTGCAAGACTTTAACTCCCATCAGCAAATTCATCAAACTTGGGGAAGATTCATCAGCTTTGGTGGCCTTCTTCCCATCACAACTACCAGAGAGCTTGGTAGGCAGAAGCAGGCGCTTAACTTTGGCAGGATCATCAAGATATACTCGAAGACCAGTCAGAAACCCTGCAATTGCACCAGCATCCATAAGAAGTTTCTCCCTTAGAGTAACCTGTGGCTGAGAAGGATTATCTCCATATGTTAAATGGAATCCAGCTCTGGAAAGAAGATTTCTGAAAATATCTTCCTCGTCTCCACTTATCCCTTCACTGTCTTCAGAGTCAATAAGCTCATCAGGGTCAGTTGTCAACGCATCCTGATCATCCTCTGATGCTAAAACCTGAATATTGAAGACAAAATTAGATTAAGTTGTGTCACCATAAGATAAGAGCAATGAAAATTTAATATAACCCTTAGGTATTATAAAATCATAACAAAAACCCAGATACCACAACAAGTGAGAAGCTAAGATGCAAAGCATATAATCATTTTTATCTATCACATAAGACATAATCATAATATATCATATGGCTCAGGTATGGGATAGAAATCTGCTTGCAAAGTTTTATTGTACATTAAGAAGTTCAAGGGATGCAAAATTATGAACTGAAGCATTAATCAACTTCTGTAACTCGTGATTATCAGGTTGTTCCATGCATCTTATCAGCTAATCACAAGCAAAAGTTCCAAGGAAGAGGCCATAATTCCTAACTGGCTTGTTCTGACATTAAAAATGAGTCAGATACAAAACCAGATATTATATGTTAAATTAGTGCCATGTCAGAGGCAGAAGAGCCAGGTCAAATCCATAGCTATGAATATACAGAATTACATGTAATCTCATATCTAAAGTCAAGAACAGATCATCCTATAGATGGTAGAAGGAAACTAGAAAAAAATAAAATAAAAAAATGGGGCAAGAGAAAGAATATTTGGCATCTATCAATTAATAGTTGTAAGTACAATGTAAGACACAGACAAGCAATCCATAAGGACTTACCTCTAAATCAGAAAACTCAAACCAAGGACAGCAATCCAATATTTCACACACAAAAACAACAGTGTCACGTACAAGAAATCCTGCATCCGCTTCTAACATATCAGACACCTTCATGAATTGCAAAACAGAATTATTCCATGTCTTTGTGCAGATAGAAGATTCTTTCCACACTGTCTTAGATGGGTTCTTTTGATTCACAACAGCCATTCTGTATCTGACCCAGAAATTTTTATCTGGATCACTACCAACAGCCTGGTCACTCTCTAAATAAATGCATATGGTGTCAAATGACTCGTATACACCTGGGACATGGAAATGCAAGATTTAAATCAAAGAATAAAAATGTAGAAGTTTACTACTACTACTGACAGTGAACAAAATGCAGGAGATAATATGTGTTTGCAAGAACACCTACCAATTCGAAGTTCACATCCACCAGCCTGAAAGAATTTACTGAAGATTTTTCTTGTCTCCATTATTTCCTTGAAAGACAGGAAATTCTCCACTTTCCACGTAAATGAACTTCTTTTTCCAGAATTATCAAGAGGAGAGCTGCTGCTTAACTCAGATTCGTGCTCAGTAAAATCCTGCATTATTGATGTCTCCTTCAATATAAGAACTTCGGCAGAGAATATGACAGTGTCCTGGACAAGAAAACCAGAATCTTGATCAAAGAGACTGGTAAGTGTCACAAATTCACGCCAACCCCAATCCTTTGCAGCTTTTGAGTAGCGGTTCTGAGATTCCTTGGTGACGGATTTATCCTCCATCTTCTGGTTCACTACTGACAAACGATGACTAACAAAGCAACTCCAATCACTGGAAGTATTTCTTGAATCTGTAACTTCAAGAAAAACTGAAAGGTGGCATGGTGGCTGAGACTGCCCTGATAGCATCAAAATCATATAAAAACTCTTCAGACTCCATTTTTTTTTTTTTATAAAAACCTAAACATATTGTGTATTTACTAAGTGTAAGGCATAGACTATAATATTCATACATCAAAACCCAAGATCTATTATCATTTATACTCATGGTGGTATCAGTAGATATACAAATACAACCATGAAATATCAAATTCAATGAAATTTCATGTATAGAAGACTGATAAAATTGCAGCCAGAATGCCTCCTTCAATTCTACCAATTTAAGCAAGAATTGCACTAAAATGCATACAACAAGATTACATCTAATTAATCTTTGCCTCACAAACAACACCGCAAATATCTAATAGGTAACTAATAAGCCTAAGCAAGTGGTGCACAGAAAATGGAAATAGATTTGCAGAGCAAAAACATTGCACACCTCGAGGGTAAACAATAAGTCGACAATCCCTATTACCAATCTGAAACCTCCTGCTCTTGATGCACAGACCCGTGATTTTCCTCTTCTTAAGCAAATCCTTCAGCCTAGTAAAATTCTCAATCCTCCAAGTGAACTTTCCAATATGCCCATCAGACTTCCTAGCACCACTACCACTTCTCCCGGCAATCACAGAACCATTCTTGGAGAAGCTGCTAAACTCCTTGATCACATGAAATGAGGTGCTAAAAACCGCAGTGTCATCCACCAAGAACCCCGAATCCACACCAATAAAATCCGACATCTTCATGTAATCATTCCATCCCAAGCTGGTATTGTCACCGCTCTTATTATCAGCCGCAAACCGGCCATAGGAATCCCTATGCATGTGATTAGAACCAGGCTTCTGATTCAACACAGACATCCTAAACAAACACCAACAACTCCTATCAGACAACACCACAGACTTATCCGTATCCTTGCTCTCCAAACACATAGACAAATACTCAACCCCATTCACAGAGCTCTGGTACACACTAATCCTCAAATTGCACTCTCCCGCAGGGAACACCGGACTCATTATCTTCTGCGTCTTGATCATCTCCTTGAACAGGCTGAAATTATGCACTTTCCAAGTGAACTTACCACTCAACACATCAGACGCGGGACTCGCAACAACGGAGGAACTCATTGTCGAGGATGAGGACGAAGACGAGGACTGCAACTCATTGTTGTCTCGTGTGAAATTAACGGACTCGTGAAGAATGAGAATATCCGCAGTGATCAAAACGGAATCGGAATTGGAGAGGTATCCCAATTTCGGGTCGAAAACAGTAGAAGAGGGCGTGAAATCGCACCAACCGTGCGATTTCTTCTTACTGGAGAATCGATGCCAGGAATCGCGGTGAATGGTTTTGGAATCGTCGGCAACGTTCACGATTGCCAAACGATAACTCGCGAAACAGTCCCATTTGGAAGACGAGGTGCCGCGAGGGTCCATGATTTGGAGATAGATGGAGATGTAACCTGGAAGCGCCTGTGAGTCACCCTTGGGGTATATTAGCAACCGACAATCGTAACCGCCTACCTCGAAGTATTTGCTCCACAGTGCCCTAGCCTTTATTCTCGGGAAATTGTGCACCGTCCATCGGCACACCGCGGAGTACTCGCCTCGCCGATCCACCGCTACCGTCTCTTGAGCGCCGCCGCCACCGTCCCGCGACCCCACAGCCAGGTCCTCCGCCGCGGCCGCGGACGATGACGTCGATGTCGCCGCCTCCGTGAACGATGGCGTGGAAGATAGCGAAGGAACTGCCTCAGATGAAGCTTGCTTCATTCTTTCGTTTTCCTTTGTTGGTTCCTCTTCTTGTTTCGTGTTAGTTGTTTTCTTTTGAAATCTTAGACGCAGAGAGAGGAGGCAGAGAGAGATGTGGTGCGAGCGAGAGAAAGAAAGCACACACAAGGTTTGGGACAACGTGGGCGCAAGATAGTACCGTGCGCCTCTTTCTTTTATCGCCTCATCTCACCAGGCGTACGATAGTAATCTTGCGCTTATTTTCTTCATTCTGTTTTCATTGGACAGATTCCAATGCAGGCAAAACTAGGTTTGTTTCTTCCTACTGCCTCTCTTGACCGTTGGATTATTACAATAGGTGTGATCAGTGGCTCTCCACTTGGACCCACTGTGAGTGCACGTGGTTCTGGGAGGATCTGGATCCTCCGTTCCACAGCAGCCACGTCATTGGCTTTGGAGTCGTACACGAATAGGGTGGATCGCATCGCATTGATTTCTCACGATATTTACTGGCCAGGACGCGTAATTTCCACCGTCTGATTTCCCTGATCGATTACGTTGAAATTAGGTTTGACTTTTTTTGCTTCCCTTTTCTTTTGCTGGGTGCGAATACGTGTGATGTCATGTGAATCAGACCATAAAGCAAATTGTTCTTGGGCCAAGACCACACTTGATTGAATGACTTTTACTAAAACAAAACAAAAAATCATAAATAAAACCAATTTCGATTACTAACTTATCATTTTTATTTCCAATTTACAGTTTTCATTTTATGAAGTGTGTTATGATACATTCATTAATGGTTAATGACATAATTGTATGAAGTTGATCACTTCTGACAAAACTAGGGTTTGTTGTATTTCAAAACTAATAAATGTGATTGTTATAATTAACTGTAATGGGGATTTTTTTTCGTTGGACAAGATATAGATATGCATGTGCATAAAAAATTATTTTAAAAATTAAACTATCTTATGTACATTAGTATGAAATTGTATTGTCATGATTTCTTTATACTAATGAATAAATATTTTTTTATTTTTTTAAGACAAATTAATTCCTCAAAAAGAGGAATTTATGAAAGTTTATTAAGAAAAAAATATATTTTTTATGACAATCTTTCTACTAACAACTTAATAAATATATAGAAAAATATAAATAGGATAAACTTGAAAAAGCTAATGCAATTGGAACGATTCATACAAAATTTCAGTTTTTCTAATCATCATATTAATATATATTATTTATTGTAAGAGAAGTGGCTTAAAATATTATTGTATGGTGTCTTGAATGCATAATGAATATAATTTTTTTCAATATAATTAAAATTTATATTTTTAAAAATGTTACCTAAAATGATTAATACAAATTAAAATATCATATATACATATGATTAATATCAATTACTTACAAATTACCTTGTTTCATATATCATCTATTTAGTTGTATTGAATTTTTTTGCCAAGTTAGATTACAATTTTTTCTTTTTCAAAACGAAAGTGAATATTTTATTCATAAAGCATTATGTTGTATTTGGTGTGATCATTTTGATAATATAAATATACAAGAGGGAAAAGAAGAAGAGATGCGTAAAAGAATGAGAAAAATGTAATATATATATATATATATATATATATATATATATATATATATATATATATATATATATATATATATATATATTATATTATGAGTGTCAAAATAAATTTAATTTGACGAGCCTATCTATCTATAACATTTAAGAAATAAATTAGGTTATATTAAAATTTTTGTGACCTAGACCTATTTATACCATTACCTATACGTGCTTAAGTTAAACTAACTCATGTTAATATTTATTTTATAGAATAATATTTTTTTTTAAATAAAGATAAAATGATATTATTTTATTAAAAAAATATATAAGTATTATATTTGTTGATTTATTTATTTTAATAATGAATCTCTAATAATAATTTATTTTAATATTTAATAATTAAGATTAATTATTATTTTAATTAATAAAAATAAATAAAAATAATAAAAAATAAGTTTTTAATTCTTATTTTATGAATGAATAAATTCATTCTCTTATAATTTATATATTAAATCATTATATCTTAAAAAAAATCAAATTCATTAATAAAATTTAAATTTTTAAAATATATTTTTATTTTTTATGTTTATTTAAATATTTTTTATTTAATTAATTTTGTATATATATATATATATTAATATTTTTTTAAATTGTCTCATTGGTATAATCACTACAAGAATTTTACATATTAACTATGACACATTTCGTAGCTATTTTATAACTAATCTCTCATCTGGTATGTTTTGCTACAGATTAGCTACGGAATAGCTATGGAATAGTCTGTAGCTAAATCCAAGTAGCTAATTAGATACAGATGTATTCTCTCTCAAACTTGTAGCAAATTTTGTCGTTAAACTGTCGCTAAATCCCTCGCTAATTTAAATGATGAAATTTTGTTTATCTCTAGCTAATTTGATCTTCCAAAACTTGTAGCTAATCTCTCGTAATTTCGCTCTCGCTAATCCCTCGCAATTTCGCTCTCGCTAATCTGTAGTTAATCCCCTCGCAATTTCGCTCTCGCTAATCCGTAGCTAATCCCTCGCAATTTCACTCTCGCTAATTCGTAGCTAATCTCTCGCAATTTTTCTCTCACTAATCCGTAGCTAATCCCTCGCAATTTTACTCTCGCTAATTATGAATTTGCTTTCTCTTTTGCCTTTTTCCTTATTATTCCAGATGCACAGCGCTCTGAGGCATGAAGAATCTTGGGGTTATCTTTTGCATTTTGTGAATGCCACTGCAACAATTCCTCTTGGGCATTGCTTACCTATACACCCGAACAAAAATGATACAATCAAGAAACAAATCATCACAGTCACCATCACCACCTATAAACCACACCTGACGCTTAAGTTCAGGAAATTTGCTTGATTCCTCAATGACTATGTTCTTATCCCATTTATAGTTAAAAAACTAAACCCATCCATCATCAGGCACCATTGATTTCCCATAAGTAATCTCAGTCCCCACAGACATAATAGTTATATCAGGAGTTATCATAGGCTTCTCTTTCCTCAGTTGTTTGTAGAGTGTAGGTGATCTCCCAGTTGAGAACACTAGCAGAGAATCTTGACGATAATGAGCTTCCCAAAGCGCATTGAACCTAAAAAGTGAACTATTCTCAGGGTCATGGTGATCAACCTGCAACCAAAACACATCAACCATTCAAATCACGATTACCACCAACACTAATAAAAAGGTTTTAAATAATAGAGACTGCTATTCAGGCCGGAACATCAAGATTGTGAGGGTGGGCGAGACTGCAACTGTAGCTACACATTTTTCTGCAATTTCCCAAAATATCAAGAAATGCCACGAAACTATGACCGCAATTTAAAATCTTAAATAATAATAACAACTGTTAGATATTGTTTAGATATTATTTGATATTGTTAAGATGTTGTTAGATATTGGTAACCACAATATCAAACAATATCTTCTGTTTATTCTGTTACTTTCAGTTACTCTTTTAGTTGTATCTCTCTACTATAAATAGATCACTCTATGTAGGCATGGCAACGAGGCGGGGCGGGGGCGGGTTTTGCCTCCCGATCCCCACCCCGACTTTTTAATCATCCCCGTCCCGCCCCGATCCCCGCCGGGGTTAGAAATTTAGTCTCCATCCTCGTCCCCACTGGGTTTCGGGTTCCCCGTCCCCGCCCAGTCCCCGATCTATATTATTTTTAAAAAGATAATTACATTTATAATAAATTAATTTTACTATCTATTTTTTATATATAAATAAATATTTATAATTTTATAATTTATAATAATTATTAATTAAATATACATTTTAATTTATTATATTTATATTAAAATATGTATGTAAAAGAAATATTTAATCATTTTTTATTTATAACATTATTATTATTATAATATCTGTATTCAAATATTTGAATACTTATAACATTATCATTATTATTATAATATTGTATTCAAACATTTGATTAATATATAAGTTAATTCATTTTTAAGTTGTAATTTAAAAATATGAAATATATAGTTTATAATGAAATATTTAATAAGTTAATTATTATTCAATTAATTCAAAGTAATAAAAGTTTAAATTATCAATTCCTTTAATCCTTTAAAATACAATTATTTTATTAAGATAAAATTTGATATATGATAAATAAGAATAATAAGATAAACAAATGACATAATAAAACCTAATAAATATAAATTATAAATAAAATAATATTAGTTACTATTAAGATTTATGTAAAATATTTAGAAAAAGATAAAGAATAAAAAAATTAACTGTGTTTCATCAAATTGATTGAAAAGATTGAAAAAAAAACAAATTGATGAGAGAGATTAAGAAAATATGAAAAACTACAAGGTATAAGAGAGAATAATATAATAAATTAATTGATATAAAAGATTAAAAAAGATAAAAAAAATTAAAAAATAGGTAGAAGAAAAATAAAAATTGGTAAAATATAAAAAAATGACATTATATGTAATAGAAAAAGAAAAGAAAATACTTTTAAAATATTAATATTTTAAAATTTAAATTTAAATATAAAGACGGGGCGTGGATGGGGCCGGGTCGGGTCGGGATTGCATTACCCATCCCCGCCCCGACTTTTTAAAGCGGGGAAAACCTGAACCCGCCCCCGGTCAACTCGGGTTTTCCCGTCAAACTCGGGACGGGTTTAATTGTCATCCCTAACTCTATGTGTGATTTATATACAAGGGAAATTAATTTCAAACCCTATTTTCTCTATATTCAACATGGTATCTACAGCTTAAGGTTATCTTGAATTTTATTTTTCCGCCTTTTGTCCACTGTTGGAGCCGCCCCACCGCTACTGGTAAACTGATCCTCTATATCAGAAAATAATTATCTTTGTTACTGAATTTTATTTGGTAGTGTGAAAGTGCATGTTTAGGAAAGTTTTGACAATGAAAGACTTGGTATTTAAGTGTATCCATTAGTGACCCACCTCTCTTTCCTGGGAACTTACCTGATGTACTAGTTCACGTTGTTGTCACCGTTGCCGCTAGAGCAGTCACCGGATCCGCCGTTGCCGGAGAATTCGCCGGAGTTTCATTTTTTTATTTTTTTTTTACTGGTGACATATGATTTTGCTTGTCTCCGTGCCATTGAGATCACCACTATCGGAGTTGGTCGTCTCATTGTCTCCTGCGCCGTTTAGTCTTGGCGAACTTATTTTTAGTATTCTCATTTTGGATTTGTGCTTCGTGGGTTAATTGGATTACTTTGGATTGTTTTAGGGTTTGTTCTCCCGTTCTTCATGACTTCTTCCACTCCCCCTATTTTCAATTTTGTTAACGATTCTTTTGTGTTGACATCCCATCGTGATGATCGGGCTCGCCCTCGCAAACAGAAAAAATGGCGTCCTAAGTGTGAACATTGTGGCAAGCTAGGTCACAAGATTAACAAGTGTTATACATTACATGGTCGTCCTCCTCAATCTGCTGTAGTTGTTCAGACCAATCTTTCCCCACCTTTATCTGCAGGGGATCTTCCTTCTTCTATTGCATCCGACATGTCTGCTATGTTCAACAAATTTCTCGAATGGTATAAGGATCAACAGTCTTCTAGTTCCACTATATCTGTCACACATACAAATACATATTTTGCTGGTCTGACCCAATCATTTTCTCCTGATCCTTGGGTTTTTGATTCGGGAGCCACTGATCATATTACTGGTAACAAATCTTTGTTCTCCTCTTTATCCTCTCCTAATCATTTACCTTCTGTTACACTGGCTGATGGCTCTAGAGTATCATCCCATGGTGTTGGAACGGTTAAACTTTTTCCTTCTTTAACCATTGATAATGTTCTTTATGTCCCTGGGTCTCCTTTTAACCTGTTATCCATCAGTTGTCTAACTCGTTCTCTTGATTGTGTTGTTACTTTTACCAACAATTCTGTGTGTTTACAGGACCAGAGTTCGAAACAGGTGATTGGCACAGGATGTAAGTCTCATGGTCTTTATTATCTTCGTCCCTCTACACATGTTAGTACAGTTATGGAGTCTCCCTCTCTTCTTCATGCTCAGTTAGGTCATTCAAGTCTTGCCAAGTTACAGAAACTTGTCCCTGTCTTGTCCAACTTATCTAGTTTGGCGTGTGAGTCATGTCAATTAGGCAAGCATAGTCGTACTTCCTTTCCTCGTAGTTTCACACGTGGTGCTTCGTCCCCTTTTGTCGTGGTTCACTCTGACATTTGGGGACCTAGCCGCGTTAAGTCTACTTTAGGTTTTCAATACTTTGTTACTTTCATTGATGATTATTCCAGATGCACTTGATTATTTTTTATGAAAAATCGTTCTAAATTATTTCATATCTTTCAAACTTTTTTTAATGAAATTCAAACTCAGTTCGGTGTTTCTATTAGAGTTTTGCGTAGTGATAATAGTCGTGAATATCTTTCTCATTCTTTTAAACAATTCATGGCTTCTCACGGTATTTTGCATCAAACTTCTTGTGCTTATACACCTCAACAAAATGGTGTAGCTGAACGTAAAAATAGACATCTTATTGAAACAACTCGAACACTTTTAATTCATGGAGATGTTCCTCAACATTTTTGAGGTGATGCTCTTCTTACTGCATGTTATCTCATTAACCACATGTCTTCTTCGGTTTTAGATAATAAAATACCTCATTCCATTTTATTCCCTCATGAACCACTTCATTCTTTACCTTTGAAAGTTTTCGGGTCTACATGTTTTGTTCATAATTTCAGTTCTGGTCTTGACAAGCTTTCTCCTATATCACATAAATGTGTTTTCTTAGGGTTTACAAGATCACAAAAAGGATACAAATGTTTTTCTCCTTCTCTTAACCGTTATTTTGTGTCAAAAGATGTCACATTTGATGAGTTGTCTCTTTATTTTAAAAGTCAATCTTCACCTCTGTCTCCATCTAATCTTGTTAGCACTCCTAATACATTTAATGTTCTTGTTGTTTGTGACCCTCTAACTGTGTCTTCGTTACCATTAGTTCTGGCTCCGCAGTCAGCTTCTTCTTCACTGCCTCTTCAGATTTATAGTTCTCGAAACTAATCACAACCACCACCATGTGACTCTACTCAAGTGTCAACTACTCTGTCTCCGGATCTGACACATGAGTCTGACCTTCTCATTGCCCACCGAAAAGGTATTCGTTCTACACGTAATTCATCTCTCCATTATATTGCTTTGAGTTATCATCGACTGTCATTACCTTTTTATACATGTCTTTCCTCTATTTCTTCTATGACCATTCCAAAAACTATCCGTGAAGCTTTAGCCCATCCTGGTTGGCGTCAGGCCATGTTAGATGAACTAAGTGCTCTTCATAATAGTGGAACTTGGGAATTGGTCCCGTTACCATATGGGAAATCTGTTGTTAGTTGCAGGTGGGTGTTTGCTATCAAAGTTGGACCTGATGGTACTATTGATCGCCTCAAAGCTCGTCTTGTGGCCAAAGGTTATACTCAAATTTTTGGGTTGAATTATGGAGATACTTTTTTTCCTGTGGCAAAGATGGCTTCTGTTTGTTTATTTATCGCCATGACTGCTCTTCAACAATGGCCTCTTTATCAACTGGATGTTAAAAATGTTTTCCTCAATGGTGATTTGCAAGAAGAAATATATATGGAGCAACCTCCTGAGTTTGTTGCTCAGGGGGAGTCTTCTGGGATGGTATGTCATCTTCGCAAATCCCTATATGGCCTAAAACAGTCTCATAGGGCTTGGTTTGGAAAGTTTAGCAAGGTTGTTCAACAATTTGGTATGACTCGGTGTGAATCAGATCATTCTGTCTTTTATCGACACTCGAGTGCTGGATATGTTTACTTGATAGTATATGTTGATGACATCGTTCTTACAGGTAGTGACAATCATGACATCTCTCAGTTGAAACAACATCTCTGTCACCATTTTCAGACCAAAGATCTTGGCAAACTTAGATATTTCTTGGGTATTGAGGTGGCACAGTCCAATGATGGTATTGTTATATCTCAGAGGAAGTATGCCATAGATATTTTGGAGGAAACTGGGTTGATGAGTTCAAAGTCTATTGATACACCCATGGATCCCAATACTAAACTTCTACCAAATCAGGGAAAGCCTATATCTGATCCTGAGCAAGTATAGAAGATTGGTTGGAAAATTGAATTATCTTACGATTACTCGTCCCGACATTTCCTTTGCAGTCAGTGTGGTAAGTCAATTTCTTAATTCACCATGTGAAGATCATTGGAATGCAGTCATTCGTATCTTGAAGTATATAAAAGGATCTCCTGGAAAAGGATTGTTATAT